ATTGATATTACCTCGGTTTGCTACAGAACTTCTTTACCTCGGCTGTCATCTTTACCTCGGCTCTGTGCTCAATTAAGTAATGGAATAGAAGCATCGACCGAGCTATACCTAGCTCGGCCATCTGTCTTACCAAATACCTCGGCCAACCCTTGGGCCTAGTATTTAGGTAGCTCGGTCAACGCCCTTGCCCAGTTTGGTACTCAGATACAAAGGGACCGAGCTACCCAACGTCCATACTTCGGCCCTTATCTCGACCCAGCTCCCAAAGAAGATTCTTCCTAACTCGGCCCAATTTGTTTACAAATTACCCTTTCAAAAGGATAATGTCTATTCTTTAACACCCTTATCTTCAAAGTTCAAATAAAATAACATAACTCTTAGCTTGGCAATTAGGCTAAGAACACCATCCCAGTTAGTCAAGGATTGAGAATCGTACTGAATGAACTCGCTTGTCTTTACGATTGTCGAGCAACATGTTTTGCCGTGCTAACCTTAGACACAATTGCTCGGCTCAATCATGTGGCCAACTCTGCCTTGCTATAACCAGCCAACCGTTGTTTGGCCTTCCAAAGATAGCACAGTCTTAAAGCCATTTGAACAATGTGGAGCGCAAGACCATGTCAAATTAGCTCGGCCCAAACTCCAGATCCATGTAACTGTAGCTTGGCCTTTTGCACGGAAATTTTTTTTATTAATATTATTCATAAATTTAAGAGATTTTATGAGATTTTAATATTTTGAGAAATTATTTGGTGGTGCTGGAGCATTGCTCCAGGCCACTCATATCAGGATACTTGCCTTGTTGTATGTGAAAAAGAGACACAAGGTGATAAGTCTCACTATTTTAATCAATAAAAATCAACTTAGTGCACCAATTGCATTTGTCCCAGAAACAAAATAATTTTTTTTTTTTTGAAGGTTGTGTTTAGATGATAGATTTAGGTAAATATTTAAAAAAGGAAATAAAAAATATTAATAAAATATAAATGAAATATAATTACACTTACTTACATTTCACCAAAAAAATTTTTTTCAAATTACTATTTAAATTCATCATTCAAACTGAATTTAAATAAATAGGCAGTAAAGTTAGCGGAATTTTGGCCAAAAAGCAAGTACAATAGCGGGTATAACACATGATGGAATAGAATCAATCAGCACATTGCTTTCTAGATAACTAGAAAATAGAGTAAATTACACTTACTTTTCCTGAGATGTTCCATAATTACAAGGATTTTCTCATAGTCTTAAGAATTATATTAACCTCTCTTATTTTTTCTAACATTGTCAAGATATCTTCTTCCGTTAACTTGACCGAAAAAATGCTAATTTGGCTGTGAGAAAAATCATAACACCCTTTAATCACTAAGCAAAACTCAGGGGAGCTAAGTGTAATTAATTACTTTATAGTAAATCTATGAAGGGTAAATTATTATTTTATTTCCCAAACCTTTTTAAAATGTAAATATGATCCTCTAACTTTGAATTTCTCTATTAAGTTCTTACACTTTTATAATAATGAAGGTAAGGAAAACATCTTTTTTGAATTAATTCTAAGTGTAATTACCATTAATGAAGGTCAGGAAAACATCTTTTTTGAATTAATTTTAGGATTTAAGGAAAGACAAAATAGTTTAAATTAAAGAAACAAAGATGGGATATATAAATAAAACAAAATAAGAAAAACTAAAGACTAGTACAAGTAAAATTTGATTTTAGTTTTAGATGTAATACTTGATAAATTGTTTGAATAGTTTAATATTCTAAAAAAAATGATCTTTCATTTCCAATCATCTAATTGTCATTTGTTGTAATATGATTATATTTTTTCACATTTTTTAAATATATTTATTTTTATTTTTACAAGTTTGTTAATACTTGGAGAATATTTCATTTTTATTACATATTGATTAAAAATTTAAGGACTCAAATATAAACTTAAAATTTGAAAATAATTTAGAATTGTGAAATGATATGCAACTTAACAATGATAGTAATTTTTTTTTTTAAAAAAAAAAAAAACACATTAAGGAAGGAAAGGAGGGTAGAGCAACAAATAAAATTGGGATTTGGTGATAGACTCCTCACCGTCTAATTTGTCTTTCAAAAGGACAATAATTATATAGGTACTTTCAAAACCCTCTAATATTTTAAAATTTGTTTCTTTTATTATATTACCCTCATATCTATCAGCTCTCCTATTAAGCTATCTTCACAGTGTATTTCAAAGTAAAATTTTACTTTGAATCATAATGAACTTTATTCTTAATTGATTCAAAGTAATATTTTATATTTTTAAGCAAATCAACATGTTTTTAACCAGAGTAAAATTTTACTCTGAATCAGAGTAAACTTTACTATGATTCAAAGTAAAATTTTATATTGTTCAAGCAAATCAACATGTTTTTAACCAGAGTAAAATTTCAGAATAAAATTTTACTTTGAATCATAGTAAACTTTACTCTGATTCAGAGTAAAATTTTACTCTGAAAGTACAACTTTACTCTAAATCAGAGTAAAGTTTACTATGATTCAAAGAAAATTTTTATATTGTTAAGCAAATCAACATGTTTTTAAACCAGAGTAAAATTTTACTATTATAAAAAATAAAAGACATACTACATGAATGAATCACAATCAAATTTTACTCTAAGATTTATTAACAAATAAAAAAGAAAGCCAATTGAAAATAAAGAATTAAAGACGACATTTAGATTCACAATACAATTTGCAACAAATGCCCTACCACATCCCCCTATTCTTCCATGCAAATAAAGATCACGACTCAATTAGGACGCAACAATCCACAGTCGACAATCAATTGTGCATGTGATTTGTGAAATCAGACTCGTTCAATAAGGAAGACAATTTCCAAGAAAGGAGAACAAATCTCAACAAGTCGCAACATTCCATGAAAAGACAAGAAATCACAAAAATCAACTTTCAATTTCCAAATTGAGATCAGATTGCAAAAATAAATCCCGGTTGCAAATCGAAATATCGAGAGCAGATGTCAATTTTCAAAATCAAAGCACAACTTCAGATCTATGTCGAAGATCAAATAGCGACATCGAATCAAAAGTGAGGATCAAGTCATCAATCCAGATCTTAGGCAAAATTTTGAGCTACAAAGTCGACTCCAAATCAAAATTCAAAATCGAGTTCGTAATGGTGAAATCACACCAAATTCGAAATGCCACAGACTAGATCTGAGATGTTATTAGTCGAATCTAGATATGAGATGTTATAAGTTGAATCAACCTTACCCAAGATGATGGTTCGAAACCGACCGTTCATAAGAATCGGATTGACGGTCGGATTTGGTCGGTTTCACGGGTTGGGCTGTATCAATAAATTTTTTTGGGCCAAACCATAACTGGGCCAAACCATTAGCAATTTTATTATGAAAATAGACATTTTTTATGATTTTTAATTTATTACCAAGTTAAAATATTAGTAATTTTAAAAATAGACAACTTTACAATTAAAAGTATAATTAACAAAAAATATTAAATTTATAATTTTACAATTCTAAAATCAATTCCACCAATTCAATAAATAAATCTGTTGATGAATAAAAACAGTAGTTTTGGCCTTAAAGAATTATTTGTTAACCAAACAAACAATAAATTCCACACAATAATATGAATAAAAAATAATTAACTAAGAAATTTCATACACCACTTACTACCTGTTTTGAACCCATTTATATCAAGAAGAATAGTAGTTTCAAACCTTTTACAAACAAACAAATAAACAAACAAAAAAATTACAAACTTCTAAGTTCCAATTGACAAACAAAATAAGTAATTCAAGATCAACTATCAACTTTTCTGATTGACAACATCATCAAGATAACCTATCAACTAATGATGTTCATAGCCAAAAATATATATATAACTATACTTAGCAACTGTCAAAATATTCCCTACTTCCATACTTGTCACTCCAGTTGGTAGCCAAAAAGCTTCAAAAAAATAACCAACCAGAAGTTTGTAATTTTGTTTAATGATTACATTCATCCAACTATAGAACTATAGCAATATTAATACAAAACTTAGTAGAATATGAACAGCTTGGATAGGAAGGATGGACAAAAAATACACAAAAATAACCATCAGCAAATAGTCTGCCAAAGCAAAAAGGTATTATCAACAGTATTATCAACAAATATCAACCACCTGCAAGGAAAAACAATTTGATAAATAAGTAAACATAAATAAAAGGAAACAACATAGTATAAAATTAAAAAAAGACTTTAGTTTATTTACCAAGCTATGCTCCATTGCCATGCTAAACAGTTATGGGACTTGAACTTAAGTTTGAGGATGAACTTGATTCTTGAAAAATCACAAAATAAAACAAGTCAATAATAAAAATAGATGATTAAATCAAAAGATAAACAAAATTAACAAATCAATTTTATACTCAAAATTACCTGAGGCATACTGCTCAAATTCTGAAACATCATCCATTGCCATGCGAAGAGAGATTGGCACAGTGCTTTGAAGCCAATTCTGAGTACAAACAAGTACCTCAACCATCATAGGAGAAAGAGAACTTCGAAAAGGATCAAGAATGCGTCCATCGATACTAAATGCTGACTTCGAAGCCACTGTTGAAACCGTCATTGCCAATACATCATGAGCTACTTGGGACAACACTCGATACTTAGAAGAATTAGCTTTCCACCACCCTAAAATTTCAAATTTTTCATCTCTCACTCCTTCACAACAATCAGCCAAATACTTGTCCACTTCGGACTTGCACATAACAGAAAATTCAGCATCCAAATAGGTATTAAATGGAGATTCAATCAACAAATGAGGATCATCACAATCATAATCAATCACCATCCTAGATGGTTCATTTGTGTCAAGTACTTCCACAAAATTTGAATCATTTGCAAGGTAATGGTCATACAAACCAGTCAAACAATCTTTCACTTGACCAGTCATTGTATTGAGTACACTTTCACCAAACAGTTGGGAAAAGCAAAACTAGACATATCTCAATTTTTTTCGTGGATCAAGCACCACAGCAACATACATCAACAGATTTATTTTATCTCCATTACCCCAATATTTGTCAAATTTTGCTTTCATTCCTTTTGCCATTAAACCCAACAATTCATCTTCCCTCCCATCTTTTTTACTTAATTGCTCAATTTTTGTTAGAATAACAAACATCTCATCAAAAAAACAATTAGAAGTTACATAAAGGGAGCCCGAAAACCTTTTAGTAGCATTGTAGAAAAGCCTTAAGAATTTTAAAAATAGTCTACAATTGTTCCAGTCACCCTCTGTTGGAGCACCCCATGACTTCTTCTTTCTACCACTTCCATCCTCCCTATCGCCCTTTAAAAAGTAAGATCGATAATTTGAGTCCTCCTCCTCTAAACGCTCAAATGCTTTCTCAAATTTTTCAGCACTCTCCAACATCAAATAAGTTGAATTCCACCTAGTAGGTATATCAAGACATAACAAAGACTTGGACTCAATTTGACACATCTCCACACACTTCTTAAAAGATTCATGCCTATTTGGAGACGACCTCACATATCTCACAACATCACGCACACAACAAATTGAAGTATCCAACTCTTTCAAGCCCTCACCAACAATGAGATTCAAAATATGCGCACAACAACGCATATGTAAGAACTCATGACCCAAAACAGTGCCCTTCCAATCTTTTGTTTTTCTTTTCAAGAATTTTATGGCTGTATTGTAAGAACTCGCATTATCAACAGTCAAAGTAAAAACACTACCAAGGTTCCATTCAAGTAAACACAACTCAATCCTCTTACCAACAGTTTCATCTTTATGATCCTCAACTTGACAGAAATTTAAAATCCTTTTTTGCAATTTCCAATCATCATCAATAAAATGAGCCGTAAGACACATGTAATTAAGATTTTGTATAGATGTCCATGTATCAGTTGTAAGACAAACTCTACGACCCTTCAAAAAATTTCTTAACGTAGTCCTCTCAGTGTTAAAAATTGCAACTAGATCTTTAGCAACAGTGGTACGAGATGGAATCATGGTAAACTTTGGTTGTAAAGCATTGCAAAACCTACGAAAACCAACCCCTTCAACAAATCTAAAAGGCAATTCATCAAGAATGATCATTTCAGCTAGAGCTTTCCTAGCACCTTTCACTGTAAAAGAAGTTGCCACTAGACCGACACCATCTCCATCTTTTTTGTTTTGAAAAGACAATGTATGTTGACTCTTTTCTTGTTCTCTATAAGGATACTTTAAACAACTAGCCACATGACTCAATAAATTACTAGTCCCATGGGACTTCGACTCAGCCATGTATTCTTTTTGACAATACTTACATACAGCCCGTGTTTTCCCATCTTCCTCATTTTTAATTTTATCAAAATGATCCCATGCTCTTGATGGTTTCCTACCACTAACTTTTCCCCGTGCCTTACCCTTCTCCTTAGGTGGTAATGGAGGCTTATCAGAAAGAAGAGGTCCAGTGGTATTACCTTTAATAGGTTGGGCACTACCAGCGGCTGTTTCAGTAGGTTGGGCACCAATTGTGACTGTTTCATTAGGTTGACCAATAGTGGTTGTTTCAGTAGGAGAATGATCCATTATCTAGACACAAAATACAACAATAAATATATTACATAATATACATAAACAAATCAAACATGCTAATAAATTCCAATTTTGTAAACAGTTAGTTAACAAACTATTTTCTAAAAAATGATCCATACAAAAACAAAGAGCATTATGCATTCTTTTTTTTTTTTGAACAGAAGAGCATTATGCATTCTAATATGATACCATTATTATAGGATCCAAAAATATAAATAAAAGCATGCTTACTTAATGAAAAAAAAACAAAAATAAAAAGCTTGCAATTTTTAAAATAATAGCAAACAAACAGATATTAAAAAATAAAAAAAATAAAAAAACATACACTTTAAGTTTAAGCTTGTAATTTAAAAACAAAAAAATAAAAAATAAAAAAAAACATACAATTCATTCTTACTGAGTATATTTAAGCATTCATTTTTTATTTTTATTTTTTGTTTTTCCATTTTAGCTTCTTTTAAGAAAAATAAGTTACTTAAAAATCTTTTTTACATGTAGGGATTTTGTTAACTTTAAACAAACTAAATAAAATGACAAAATAAATCTAAGGTTTTTGGTGATCAGAAAAAAAAAAATAAAAAAAAATATTGGAACAAATATATTTGGAGCATTCAAAAACATGAATGATCCATTATCTAGAGCATAATATACATCAACTAATCAAACATGATAATAAATTTTCATTTTCAAAATAGTTAATACAAGGATTTATTGAAAAACTAACAAACATTTTAAAGTACCAAAGAATAAAAAAGCACACATGAGAGCATTCAGATTTTTTTTCATTTAGCTTCTTTGAAACAAAAACAATGACTTAAAACAAGGGTTTTTGTTAATAAATAAATAAAATCCATGTATGGATTATGTTAGTTAGTCTACAAAAAATTAAATATATATATATACATTAAATCTGGTGTTTTTGTTAAAACAAAATTTAAAAATACGAAATCCATGTAGGATTTCAGTTATTCAAGAAACAATTAACTATAAACACAATATCGATCAAGGGTTGCAATTAATCAAAAACAGTTTAAACAAATAAACTCATACCTAAGGCTTTGGTTAGTAAGAGAGCATGTAACAACCCTCATACTGTTTAACAGCTCATTGGACATTGTTTAATTACTGTATTGGCTTCCGCCAGGCCCTGTACTCTGTTTTACTGTATTACTGTTAAGCAGGCCTTCGGTAATCTCGGATTACTGGCCGGTTACGGTGCTAAACCCATAGGGCCGGGTTTGGGTCGTGACAGAGCACCACCAGCATCTCTGATTTGAAGGATAGATAAAACACCTCAAAGAGTATCAAAGAGAGAGAGAGAGAGATTGGAAAGAGATGGAAGTTGAGAATTTGTGATCAAAGCTGTAAAAAGATATGTAATGAGGGAAGAGATTGGTTTACATTATAGAGAGAGAGAGAGTGAGAGAATGAAATATGGGAAAGAGAGAAATATGGGGAAGAGGAGAGGAGAGGAGTTGATATGATATGATAGGTCTGCTGAACAACTCCTTTTGCTTTGAAAGTTGAAAATTGAAATACATCATCATCATAGAAAGCTTCCACGAGAAGCTTTGCATTTCTCCCAATAATAAAACAATTATACAAATATAAAAAATGTAACGACTGCATAAAAATTCGGTCGGGTCGGTTTCGACCAAAATAATTTACACAAAACTGTTGCCGACCGTGAAGCCACGAAATTCAACCAAACGAAACTGCAACCAACCGGTTGAATATTCGAAACCGTTCATTTTACTTCGGCTCGGTTCGGACCGGGCGGGTGGGTCGGATTTCGGTTTTTCATGAACACCCCTAGCAAAGGTTGCTGGTATCATCTCATTCCATTAAGTAATCTAATGAATAGATGATTGATGGGGAATCTTAGCCCTGGTTTGGCAAATTTCTCAGGTAAATAATCATATAAAAAGATAAAAAGAAATTAAAAAGTTAAAAATTAACAAAAAATTTGTCATTTCAAAATCAAAAAGTAAGAAAAGCCAAATAAGAAAATCAAATAAACAAAAATTTACAGACTAAAAAAATAAAATAAAAAACTAAAAAACTAACTAAAAAAAAATCATTACTAAATGACCCATTAATAATATTTTAAAAAATAGGAGATCTCAATATAATTATTGAAACTATAATAAAGTCTCTGTAATTATGCAAAACTTTAGGACAAGTAAGTAGAATCGAATCCGGATCCTCGGTCGCCTTTGCCTGTGACCCTTTCTTCGTTTTGGGGCAACTTTTCAAGAAAAAAAAAAAACAGAGCATAACTTAGAAAGGGAAGGGGGAAGAAGAAAGAAAGCAGCGGAGAGGAGCACGGATGAAGCAGATGAAAAAGGACTTGAGGCCGGGTTTGCTGGTTTTCTTTTTCCTCTTCTTCTTTCTTATTATTCTTCTTCTTCCTGGTTTTCTACTTCCTGGTTTGCCTGCCATCTTCTTCCCTCTTTCTCTCTGTTTCTGAGTTTTTTTTTTTTTTTTTTTTCCCATGAAAAGTTGCCCCAAAACGACCCAGAAAAAAAGGGGAAAAAAAAAATTCCTTCTGTGATAGCCATCTTCTTCCCTCTTTCTCTCTGTTTCTGAGTTTGTTTGTTTGTTTTTTCCATGAAAAGTTGCCCCAAAACGACCCAGAAAAAAAAGAAAAAAAAAAATTTTCCTCCCGTGATAGCCATCTTTTTCCCTCTTTCTCTCTGTTTCTGAGTTTGTTTGTTTGTTTGTTTTTTTTCCCATGAAAAGTTGCCCCAAAATGACCCAGACAAAAAGAAAAAAAAAAAATTTCCTCTTGTGATAGCCATCTTCTTCCCTCTTTCTCTTTGTTTTTGAGTTTGTTTGTTTGTTTGTTTTTTTTTCCATGAAAAGTTGCCCCAAAACGACCAAAAAAAAAAAGGAAAAATTTCAATCAAAAATTTTCCTCCTGTGTTCGACGCCATTAATGGGTTCTTTCCTCTGTTCTTCTTTTTTCCATTTTTTTTTTCTTGAAAAGTTGCCCCAAAACGACGTCGTTTTGGGGCGCTACAGGAAAGGGCCACAGGCAAAGGTGACTGAGGATCCAGATTCAAGTAGAATCTACCTAAGAAATATGAGATAAAAAACATCTCTAGCCCATGCTACCACGTGTCAATATTTTATCCATGAGATCTGACGTCTAACTAAAAGTCTCTTAGCTACTTTTCATTTTGTAACGTGCCGTTTGGGAACAGATTAATTTAGTAATTTTTTGACTATTTAATTAAAATATGAGTTAAAAAAAAAATATTTAGAATGATTTTTTGATTTTTTACTAAAAGATATGCAAAAAATAGAGAGAAAAGAGAATATTTGACTTTTTGATTTTTTTAGTGACTTTTTAACTTTTTGACTAAAAAAATTACTTGCCAAACGAGTCCTAAATAAAACATGCACCACAAAATTCATAATTTCAAAAATACCAAATATATTTTACGTATGGTTGATGTTAATTTTGTTTATTTATTTTGCCTGGCAGAATGGGGCAGTGCTACAAAAAAAATATTAAAAATAAAAAATTTCATACAGAAGTATACGATCATGCTACGTAGCTCGAATTTCATGGCTCGACATTTGGCTCGACACCAAAACGACGTCGTTTTGGTGTCGATTTTTTTTTTTTTCTTCTTTTTTCCCTAGTTTTGCAGAACGAAGAAGAAGAAGAAGAAGAGAGAAGAAGAGAAGGGAGGAGGAGGAGGAAGGAGGGGGGAGGAGGGAGGAGAACTGGAGGGGAGGGGGCCATAAAAATTGGAAAGAGAAGGGGGAGGAGGGAGGAGAACTGCGGCGGGGCTGCGCGGGGCGAGCTGCGGCGGGGCTGCGACGGCACGATCGGGCACGCGGATGGGCTGGGCAGACGACCGGGGCTGGGCAGGCGGGGCTGGGTAGAGGCAGACGATCGGCGAGCTGCGACGAGGACGGCGGAGGCGACGAGCCCTCACCTCTCTCTTTCTCCGTCTCTCCTTCTCTTCCCCTCTCTTCTCTTTCGAGCCAATTTGTCGAGCTCTCAACCATTTTCCCAGAAGTATATCCTTTTATGGTCATTTTATTTAAAATCAAAATATCTATTATTGTAACTCATAATTACAAAAATGTCAATACTATATTATTAATGTATTTTATGTATATAAAGTCTATTTAATTTGATTTTCAAAATCACTTTTCATTTAAATTTAAAAAAAAAATTAATTTGATGAAAAATTGAGAAATTAAAAAACACCCATGATTTTCAGATAATTTTATCAATTTTAAGGGCGAAAATAACTTTAAAAATATTTTTATTTGATATAAATTTTATCAAACTAATTTTTATTTTTTAAAATAAATTTGAAATTGAAACCAAACTTCAAGAAATTGGACAACCAACCAAACACCAAGCCGCCATAGAGAGGCCAATGATCCTTCATCTTTTGATTAGAAACGGGTCGATATAGTAGCTAATTTGGGCCATACATACATGCCCTCGGCTTTCAGATATTTTGCGTCCCCCCTTGTTTGGAAAAAGAGAAAAGAAAAGAAAAGGAAAGAAAAAAGCGGTTTGGTTGGGTGGGGAGTACCTTCACTTCCCGATATCCGATCTCGGCGTCCATTGGTTTTGTGCCAAATTTATGGTCACTTGAAGATTTTTATTATCTCAAAAACTTTTCAATAAAGTATGTGAATCTAGCTTTTGAGACTTTGGAATTTGAACTCTGAAACAAATTCAATATGGGTGAAGAAGCTGTGAATAAATTGCAAGTGAAAGAGTTGGAATTTGAGGCAGAGAAGAACAAGAATAAGAAGGAAGATGGTTCGACTTCGGTCATTCGGTGGGAGAAGTTTCTTCCGAGGATGGTCCTGAGAGTGTTGTTGGTCGAAGCAGACGATTCGACTCGGCAGATTATAGCAGCACTTCTCAGGAAATGCAGTTTCAGAGGTTTATTTTTAGTTTTTTTACTTTTGGGTATCTTAGTTGAGTTGTATTGTATCAGTTTGGTTTTGGGTTGGAAATTGATGTTTGATTTGAATGATGAAAATTTTGATGGGATATGATTTTAATCTAAGGTTAAGCTTGATTATTTTTATTTTTTGTTTTTGGTTGCAAGTTGGTTTTTGGTATTTGAATTTAATTGAAGACCTTGCTCTATCTGACTTACGAATGGTTGGTCTCAATTTTCAATTTCATCTTCTTCAGTAGCTTTGATAGACATTAGGAATGGATTGATGTTTTGGGTTCATATGAATTTGTCTTGATATGTACTTGGATGCTGAGAGGGGTCAAATTCTGTACTCACCAACAAAGAAACAATTACAAAGCCCTTTCACACAGGAAAAAAGAAAAAAGAAAAAATGAAATCTTTGCTTGTATTTGCTTTACTGATTCCTGAGAGAGGTTGTAGTGCCCATGTACTAGTTACAGTAATATCTGAATTGGGAAATCTTAGTTTCTTCCTGTAAGAGGGGTTAATTTGAGCCCACTAAATTATTTAGGCCCAATAGCCCAAGATTAGTGGGCCCGAATTTATCGCAAGTCCAAGAATCGGTGGGCTCAGATTTATCGCCATCAAACGGATTGAATCGCTCTAAGCCTCGAAAGGGTTCGGATCCACGAACCTAGAGACTTACTCAGGCCCGGAAAATCTATCAGAGCAATGCCTCCCCCGCATTCTCAGAAGGAGTTAAAGAAGTTCCTCGGGAAGGTGTCTTATATTCGGAGGTTTATCCCAGCACTGGCAGAGATCTCTGCGCCTTTCGGCTCTTTGTTAAAAGGAGATGCCAAGTTCGAGTGGAACCAAGAGCACCAAAAGGCCTTTGAGAGAATCAAGGCGGCCTTGACCTCGCCTCAGACCATGATAGCCCCGCAGCCCGGGGTGCCTCTAATGTTGTACCTAACTTCAACCCCCAAGTCCATAGGGGCATTATTGGTCCAAGATGTAGATGGAGTAGAACGCCTGGTGTATTACATCAGTCGGAAGATTCGAGGGGCAGAAGTCCGATATACTCCAGTAGAGAGACATTGTTTAGCTTTGGTATTCACTGCCCAAAAGCTCAGACATTACTTCCTAGCACATCAGATTCAGATTGTTACTAGAAGTGATCCAATCCGATACCTCCTCAGCAAGCCTGCTCTAACCGGGAAGGTGGCAAGATGGTTGTTAGCATTGGGTGAATTCGAGATCACATGTGTAGCCCCCAAGGCGATCAAAAGCCAAGCCTTAGCTGATCTCCTTGCCCAATTTTCAAGTGGTGACTATGAACCAGTGAATGAAGAATTAAGAGAAGAGGTGCATGCAGCTATGGCTTCCGAGGAAAGCTTTTGGACCTTTAGCTTTGATGGAGTAGCAGCTGGAGGTAAAGGAGAAACCGAGATAGTCCTTACAAGCAAAAGTGGGGAAAAATTATATTTGTCTTATAAACTGGATTTCCATTGTTCAAATAATGAAACCGAGTATGAGGCTCTTATTTTAGGCTTGATAGCAGCTGAGAAGCACAGTATCAAGAAGATTCGGATTTGGGGGGACTCAAAGCTGATAGTGAAGCAAGTTTCAGGATAGTTCGTCTTAAAGGAGCCTGCCTTGGCCACATATCGAACAACAATCCAAAGGCTTCTTGACAAATTTAGAAGGTCGAAATAGAGCATGTGCCTCGCTCCGACAACAAGTTTTCAGATGCCCTCGCAACATTATGGGCAAGAATTGACATTCTAGAGGAAGAGGCAACAATTGTTATCAAGAAGAGAACAGAACCTTCAATAATACCCGAAGACAAAGGCCTTCCGGAGGACTGGAGAGGAGAAGTCCTCGAGCAACTCAGAAGCAAAGTTGGAAAACTGACTATGGCCAAGCTTGCCCAATTCACAATTATTCAAGGTGAACTTTACTTCCGAGGGGGTACCGGATTCCTAGCCCGGTGTGTTGGCCAACAAGAAGCAAGCTTCTGACTACAACAGATCCATGAAAAGTCTTGCGGGGATGGGGATATTAGTCTGTACAGAAGAATCCAAAGACAAGGCTATTATTGGCCCGAAATGGAGAATGCCTCGAATCAATTACAGAAGGAATGCCCCAAGTGTCAGTCATACATTCGGGAGGATGAGAGTTGCTTTGAAATTGATACCCCTGACTAGAGGCAAGTCTACATTGACTATCTCAAAGAGGGAACACTACCTGAAAACCCAAGAGACATTGCACACCTCAAGAGGAGAGCAAGGCGGTACTTTCTTGATCAGAACAAGCTTTACAAAAGAAGTATTGAGGGCACTCCCCTGAGATGTCTCTCCAAGGAGGAGTCAGACCTAGTCCTCGGAAGAGCCCACGAGATTGAGCATCAAGAAGGGGCTTGGCTGTTCGACCAACTTATACACCTTGGGTATTACTGGCCGACCATGGAGTCAGATGCATCCATCACGTGAAGAGGTGCCAGACTTGTCAGAAACACAGAAATTTGATCCATGCTCCAGCTATAGACCTGTATAGTATCCGAACGCCATGGCCGTTCCATACCTGGGCTTTTGATCTGATAGGGCCTACCTCCAAACCTTCTAAGGGGTACAAGCGGATTCTCGCAGCTACAGAATTAAGCACAAAGTGGGTCGAATCAATCCCTCTAGAGAAAGCTACGGGTCCCGTAGTCTCGAACTTCATCAAGGAAAATATCATTTGCCGGTTTAGAGTACCAAACACCATCCTCTCGGACAATGACACTCCCTTCATAAACAAAAATGTGAAGAACCTCCTAGAGACTTACCAAGTGATGCATCACAAATCCACACCCTACTATCCAAAAGGGAACGGGCAAGCGGAGGCCACAAACAAGACACTGATAAGGATTCTGAGCAAGATGATGGATGAATTTGGGGGGACTTGGTCCGAACAGTTAATAGTAGCCCTATGGGCGTATCGCACTTTAAAGAGAAAGCCAACTCAAACAACTCCTTACTCCCTTGTGTATGGGTCCGAGGCAGAGTTACATATAGAGTTAGAAACACCATCTGCTCTAATGGCTCTCGCCTCGGGGATCGTACTGGAGCCTCGAACCACCAGATTGGAAGCATTAGAGGAAAAGCATGACAGAGCTGCAAAAGTCATAGAAAGGTATCATGAGTCCGTCGCCCGAGCTTATAATCAGACTGTGGTGCTAAGAAAGTTCGAAGAAGGTGATCTAGTATGGAAGATTGTAGACCCAATCATGCGAGGACAACCCTTGCCCAAGTTTTCTCCAAAATGAGAAGGGCCCTACAAGGTGGTTCAGGCAAGCTCAAGCGGGTACTACAAGCTTGTAAGGGTTGAAGATGGCTTCCAAACTGGCATGCTCAATGCAAAGTTTATCAAGCATTACTACCCGTAGTTAGACTCATCTATGTTGAAATTCATTTTCATTTTCCTACTTTGTCTAAAAGTTGTATTTCCCTTACGTTATGAAGAAGCTGGTTTTCTTTATGATGTATGTTTTATCCCATCACTTGCAGTGAATTTATTATACTTTTGCCAAGAAAGTTAAAGAATTAATGAGAATATTTCAGCTTTTATAAACATGTGCAGATGATTGTTCTTTCCATTGTATCATTCGAAATAAATATTTTATCAAGTAGAATAAGAAAACAATGTGAAAATATCCAAACAGCAAAGATTTTGTCATTTCATTGCATTGTCCTAGATAAAACATTTCTATCGAAAGGGGCAAGAAAGTAATGATAAAGAAAAACTCAATCTCTCCTAAAAACACCCTCGAAGAAACTGCCCGTCACATCTACATCCAGAGGACAAACAGCAGAGTGTGCCTCTAAAGTCTCCAAGGCCCGAGCATAGCCTGATTCAAGTTCACGAAGAGTTGCATTTGTCTCATCTATAGAGGTCCGATAAGAGGCAAGCACAGACAAAATTTCCTCCCGATGACTGGCATTCGAAGCTACATCCAGGCGCTTCCGAAGCCATGATAAATCCACTTGGTGACGCTTCATGTCAGAGATCCCCTAATACGCTGTCTCGACTACTTTCCCATTAAAGTCACACAGCCGTTGCCTGTCTAAGCTATATAAGATAGTGGAAAAAGACTCGAGAAGAGCAGTCTGAATGAGTGGACATTGGCAAGCAAAATGAAGCAAAGGTCTCCGGGTAACTCGAATGCACAAGCTGTAGAACTGAAGCAAACTCAGAAGCTATCCAATAATGGAGAAATGATACTTTTCCAGAGGCCGAAGGAGGAATTGGGGCTGGAAAGCTACTAGTCTCAGGAATCTCCCGAATATCTAGCAGATTAGATGAACCACCCCGAGGGGTAACTTCGGGAAGAGGTCCCGAGCCTGAGAATGCAGAGTGATAAGGGGAAAGACCAAAAGCATCACTATCAAAGTGGAAATCACTGAGATTCAAATCCAAAACATTTGAAGGAACTGGCGATGAAGAACCTCTAGCAGTCGTCTCAAAGGCAGGTGTCTCCCCTTGAGAAAGAGAACCACGAGGAGTCACAAAGAGAGTCGGAGCAGAGTCCGAGGCAGGTGAAGGCAGGACCCCGGTGGTAGCTAACACTGAAGAAAAGATAAGGAAATCTTATTAGGGGTGAAGAATAGTAAAGCCATTTGAGTAAAGATTTCTCACAGATAGAAGTACATGACAAACTTCAAAAAGAAAGATTACCAGAGGGACCTCTAGCAGTCGTCTCAAAGGCAGGTTTCTCCCCTTGAGAAGGAGAACCACGAGGAGTCACAAAGAGAGTCGGAGCAGAGTCTGAGGCAGGTGAAGGCAGGACCCCAATGGCAGCTAACACTGAAGAAAAAAAAAATGAGGAAGTCTTATTAGGGGCGGGGAACAGTAAAGCCATTTGAGTAAAGATTTTTCACAGATGGAAGTACATGACAAACTTCAGAAAAAAAAGATTACCAGAAGGAGAATCATTATGCAAAACCGGAGCAACTGAAGGACTCCTAGCATCAACAAA